CAGGTAGGGTTCATGAGGAATGCTTGGACAATACCTGTGACACATGATCTGGTACCATTCAAATGAGCTTAATGGCAAAAATCCAATGGTAAATGCCTCTTCAAAGTAGGGCTTCTTCCTTTAAAAAGTAGGGCTTTTGCAGTAAAGCTGAATTAATTTTAGCAGCTCTATTCAGTTTTAATAATTCCAGTTGAAGGCTAAAGGCATTTGTAAGGGATACAGCAAGAGGACTCTTGTTGACAGAGTCAACATCCATCAAGCTGCAGTTCATGGTCTCAGGTTCAGCCTGGTCAACTGCAGCTTTGAAAAGCTCAGTAACTTCTGTCACCACACTGTTACTGGCTCCTTGACCATAATAAGGATTTTTTAGGGTGTTTCTAATTACCAAAGTCATTCTCTCTTTTTCTTTCTCTTATTATTATTTTTTTTTAAAGTTTTTGAGGTCAAGTCAGCTTTTCCAGATTAATAGTCAAAGATTATTCTGAAACATCCCCATCCATTGCAAAACACGGGATTTCAGGCCTGAATCCCACTTCCAGCTGTCATGGAAATTTCCAGTCCCATCCCAAAGGAAAATTCCATTTTCAGCCTTCCATTCAGACCCCTGTTCAGGAAAGGGTGTGCTTTGAATTAGTGTTCCTCTCAAACCCCATGGATGCAGCTCGTTCTAACTTCTTTCAACAGCCTCAAACCCTATGAATTAACCACAGAAACTTGTGTTCATCTCACAAACTAATGAATGAATGACTTTTAAAGAGAGAGATTTACGTGATGTAACATATTTACTATCAAAAGTGTAGTAAGCAGTAAGTTTATCTAGTAAAAAAAAAGTGTTACAATCTCTTATTGACACGCTGCACTTTATAGACATTATTTTCTTGCTAAGGAGACAACTTGTACTTTAGCCCAAAACATTTTAATTTAGTAACATATATGATACAAAAAGAATTACTAAGTGAGTGTAGTTGTAACTGTGTTGCTAAAATTGCAGCAGTTCACACTAAATAAATTAAGAGTATTAGAGGGATATGTGTCAGAAATTTAAACCTCCAAAATAATGGAAACTGAGCAAGCATTCAAACAGCACATTCATGGCCTTTGAGAAAAACATCCAGACCTAATTAGAACTATTCACTCACTGAGGTCTGTGGAGTTTCTTTTTTACTTTCCTATATATGTTATAAAATATTTTAAACATTCCCCCTTCTCATTGTTTGAAACTGAAATGTGATTTTTTTAAATATTCCAATGCTTCTTTGGCTCTGTTTAAATCAATGGCAAGTAATTCTTGTAAAAATGAGCAGTATTAGCTATAATTCTTGAAGTCTGACTTAGTAAAATACAGACTTTTCTATGCATTATTTTGGCACGTAATCTAACATTTTTACTGCTTTTGTGATGATGGAACTATTGGTTTTTAATGCCATTTATTATTTCAACAGATAGAGTTCAAACTGTGCAGAGCTTAGGCTCTCTCACGGATAGATAGTGGATATTGTAGGAATAATTCTTGCTTGTGGGAAGCAAGACAGGAGCTGACAGTTTAACAGTGGGTGCATTTGTGGGTGAAATTCAGTCCTGGGCAAGGGGCCAGTTCCCGGTGATTTCATTCTTCAGGAGAGAACATTAAGGCAGGCAGCTTGCAGCAGCCAGGGCAAGGCAGCTCCCCTGACCCTCATCATCCCAAATGAGCGCATGGCCGGCAGCCACGGGCAGCGAGTGCCCAGCCCGGGGAGCAGCAGAGGGAACCCGGGGCAGGGAGCAGCTGGCAGCGGTTCCTGGAGCCCAGGGGCTGCGGAGGAGGAGGAGGAGGAGGAGCAGCGCTGGCCAGGCTGCTCGCGGCCACTGCCAGCGCCACATTCCCCTGCAGCCAGGCTCCCTGCGGGGCTCTTAGCGCGGCCCCGCTGCTTTGGGAACACGGGCTGACCCCCTGCTTCTCGTCTTTCTCTTCAGAAACTGTTATTTCCCTGCTGGAATAGTTACTGCCGTGTCAGCGCTCTGTTTATTCCATTTCTCTCAAGGATAAGGAACCATCAAACCATACTTCTAAACTTATCACATTTATTTCCCATGGAATGATCAGATGTTAAAACAGTACTGCACATCTTCATGTGCCATTCTAAAGAATTATTATCCTGAGCATGGTAAGAGTCTCTTTGGAGAAGCTGGAGCACAATGACTTGCCCTTCCAACTTCTCTATCTACTTTTGTTCAGGACAAGGGTGGAGTTCAAAAGCAGGCAGTAAGGACTTCACCTTTGTTGTTAATCCATTAAACACCTGAGAATAAATCTGATCCTAAATGTAGTCCCCCTGTAAAATAACTGAAGGAACAGTAGCTGAAACTGAGCAGGAAAATGGTTGTTATCATTTAGATGTACTTTTCTCAGCTCTGCATTCAGCACTCAGGTTAGTGGCCAAATCTCCTTTCCACACGAGTCAATCACTTTGTGGCTGACTTCAAGAGGAGGCTGATTTCCTACCTTGAACCTTGGCTACACTTTTGTACCTCCAGTTAAGCTATTTCTCCTCCATGTTTTCTTCAATTTACTCTACTTAGAGGCTTGCTGGCTCCTCAGTACTTCATAATGGAAAAGGTGCAGAACACATCAAAACAGGAACAAATAAATTGTTATTTTCCCTGTCCAAACGAAAGAGTTTCAAAGCAGGACTCAGGGCTTGAGAATTCTCCTGTGACCGCAGTGTTTGCCTGTTGCCAAGGCCTGTGGTAGGATCTGGATTCTTCTTGTGGTGACAAAATAAGTTCCTCCACCACAAGTAAATGCCGTCCCCACAAAATGGAATAATTTCAAACTCAGCATGACAGTTAAAGCCCTTGGCTTTCAGCAAACTGGGGCTTAAGCAGCAAATCAAACAGCCCATTTTCTTTTTGATGCAGTGCCACGAGGTTGGCTACTTAGAATCTCACTTTTTGTGCAGTAATAAAATTCTCTTCTGCCCCTCACTGTCGGGCACTGATGCTGTGACATGCATGAGGATTCCAAGCACATATGGGAAAAAATCAACTTGCCATGGAAGATTTACTGGTGAGGCAACGGTCAAATTTTTTCTTTCTCTGCAATTCTGAGCCTGGAACAGCTTCCTTGTCTCCAGCAGATGAGAACGAAATCTGGCTCATTTAATCTAATTTTGTCTCCGCCAACAGATCCTTCTCTCAGTTCTGGTCTGCAGAGCTGATTTTTATAATAGCTTCAATAGGAAAAAAAGAGTGAAAAATTAAAAAATCTCAGCATAGAGAGCCTCCAATGTTTCCTCTGGACATTTTGTAACTCCCACTGTTAACCAGTAACTGTGCATCTTTTTTATTTGAATAACGATGCCCATAACACTGGAAGCTCTAACATTTACTCAGCCAAGACCATTTATCTTGTTATAACAGGATCAGCATCTCAGCTGGGGCTTCTGGATGCTACTCTACTACAAACAAAATTAAAACCACCAGTCAGCTGAAATTAATAGTATAAGGGAGCCACACAGTTCCTCTGCTCACACACGGAAGGACGTGTGGAGGGTGTTAAATCCCAGCACAATGCACGGAGAGAAATGGATTTTTCCATAATTACCAAACCCCTCAGCAGCTATCACCAGGCTCCAGGAGAGCTCCTGAAAATACTGCCCCAACATTCCTAATGGATGGTTTTCCTCGTGCCTACGTAGGCAAGAGCCCGGTGCCGGCTCCCCCCTCCTCCTGCACTGCCAGACGTAGGAAGGTTTTATTCCCAAACGGGAGCGTTCGCCTGCTGACATCACAAGCGCCAGGATCCTTTTGTTTGCCTGTGTCTCCTGCATTGAAATGTTTGTCTGAGTCACAGATCCCGCTGCCTCCCTTCCCCTATGTCATCCTGCTTGCTTCACAGCTTCTCCCTGACTCACAGTTTTTAAATTTTGACACAGCCCAGTTTGCTGCATGGCAACTCAATACTTTTCCCTTTAATATTTTATTATGTAATTTTTATCTAAACCCTATAATGATGCAAAAACCACTGCCTTTTTTTTCCTTTTTTTTTTTTTTTTTTTGAATAGGGAGATTTTATGACTCAGATTCAGCACTGAATTTAATTTCAAGGGAAAGTCAGTTTAGTGTATACTAAATAAAAAATTTAAGATAGTGACTCCCACAACTTGAATTCTCCATTTAGCTGCTGGCTGAGTTTCCTCAGCTCTAACGTTAGCGAGTGCTCTGCCAAAAGGGGTCATCTCTGTGCATGTGTACAAACACTTCCCATAATTGAAGTAATTACTATTTTGCAGTGCAGCACCTTTCTTCTCCTCTAATAATCTCCTTGATTTGTTTTCTCTTAATAAAAAGAGGACAAAAAGCTGCTGTGCTTTCAGTGTAGATTCATTCTCTGGGTTTAGACTCTGGAGCTGCTGATATTGCTGGTGCCTAAGTCTGGGTTTCCCCTTTATTACAGCCACGAACAAAAGAGATCCTGATCACAGCAAGAAATGAAATGAAGAACGTGGAAGTCATGGCTGTGCAGCAGTTTGGTTCAAGCCTGAGTCACGGTAAAATATTCCCACTTACTGAGACAGGAACATAAAATTATCGTGCTGGATTAAATCCTTTGTCCTTCAGATCCAGCCTTTCATCTCTGTTGTTGCCACCACAGGATAAAGGAGAAGTTCAAAGCAGAGCTTTGACTGTCCTTGACCAAGGACTTTGCAGCAGGTGAGGGCTGAAGCCCCACTCTGGTGTAGCACTGAAAGCTGCATTTCTCTTCCAGCATCCACTGCCTGTGTCCTGCTCTGAGCCTGTGGAGAGCACAGTGCTGCATCCAACCTCCTTAAAATTCAGGTACACACAAAGCCAGATGACTGATCCACATGCCTGTCACTAAATGTGCTGTGCTAGAGGCTTTCATTTCATTGTCTTTTTACCCAGTTGAAAAGATGCAGTTGTGGCCCCCACATCCACCTCCCCCCCGCCAAAAAAACCCAAACAAAAAAGCCCCAGCCCCAAAGCTGAAGCAATTTCTTATAGAAAACATAGATTTTTATTATAAAAATACAATTATGCCATACACAAAGAAATTTTGTGCCACAGAAATTTGCACGTTGCAGTCTTAATATTAAAATAAAGTCCAGAGCAAGAACTGAAGTTGGGAGTCTCTCAGGCTGCCTTTGGCTGCACGTTCACCCTGCTCTCCTGCAGGTTTTTAACCTGACCCCACTTTGGGGTCACTTTGGGATCACTTTGGGGTCACTTTGGGGTCACTTTGGGGTCACTGCTGCTGCTCCTCCTCTGTCCGAGGCCGTTTCCGAGGGTTGAGCTCAGCTCCTCCTGTGCTGGCAGTGGCAGCTGCAGGCTGCACGTCTCGGAAGCCATGGGGCTGGAAGATGAAAGGGAAATCATGTGCTAGGGCTTGGAGGGATAGAGAGCATGAGGAACCAGTTCCCAGAAGATCAGAATAAGGATCATGCTGCCATTTATTGGGGATCAGCAGCCACAGAATATTTACAGACCAGGTTAAGCTCAGCACTGCAAACTTTACAACACATGTGCCAGCTCATGTCTGCTCATTTTGTTTTTTAAAGATATTTTATTTTCACCAACCAGGCTATCACTTCCATTTTACTGTTTATCACCCCTATGGCTATGAAAAACTGCTTCTCTGTAAATTAACTTATGTTGCCTATTTAAATAAATCAAAAGACAAATCCATCAGCTCCCACAGAAGCAAGGAGATGACTGGATTAATTGCCTCAGTCATTTTCAGAAACAAAACTGTGAATTTCTACAACCTAGGATATTTTTGTTCCATGTACCTACTTAATGAACTGAAAACATCAATGAGACATTGTAAGAGAACAGCAGAGCTGAATCTGTCTCTAGACTGCAAAGACTGTTCCAGCATAGTAATTTATGGGACACAATGGGATGAAAACCTTTGACTGCCAAAACCTAAATGTAGAAGTGAAAACTACATGCTGCTACTCAGGAGAGTGCTTGAAGTGATCTATCTGGCCTAGTACCACTTGTATTTTCTGTTACTGTAGCTCACAATTTAATTTTTAACCATTTTAAAATATGAAAGATCTCCAAGTCAGTTAGCTAAACATGCCATGGATGCAGATGGAGATGGTGTGTTGTGTGAAGCCTGCAACTCTCTCAATTCCCATCTCCAGACAAATGCTGTGCAGAGAGCACTGCTGACAGCTCAGTGAAGACTCCCAGTGCAGATTTAGAGAGGAAAAGGCATTAATCAGAACACAAAATTGCTCTGCTGATCCAAAATGCTCAGGTAGAGACAATGTGGGGACGAGAGCATTTCAGGCACACTGACATTTTGGGCTGGTGCAGTGTGAGGAAAGCAAGGCAGAATCACCATCAGAGGTGACTCTTCCCAAATGCCAGCGTGTCCCACACCAAGACCAATCCTAAATCCCCACAAAATGTCTTAAGTCTCCCATCCCTGTATTTCTATTTCTGAATGCCTCACCTCACCCAACCCAGGCTTTTTAAAGGAACAAACAGCAAGAGCTGCTGCAAGGGCAGGATCTGTGCAACCCCTCTGCTATTTATAAGCAACTCAAGTGTTATTCTAAAGAGCATAATGGGGAATCTTCAAGTTTAATGTTTCACTACATCTAATCTCTGCCATTTCCCTGAGGCACAAAGGTGGATCTGTAGCCAAGTATCCACTTAATCCAGAATGCTGACTCCCAGTGAAAGCATTCCAGGGGTTAGAAGGGCCAGAACATAAAGCAGGCTGTCCAGGATGGATATTTTGCACTTGGCTACAAGCAGGCACCTTGAAAATACAAGAATTTTGTGTATTTTTGTGAAGTTTGGTAGTGGCTTTCAGATGGTGAGGATGTGGCTGCTGGAGCCAAGGACAAAGCTCAGTCTTTCATTTTGAATTATTCCTTAATGTCCTCTGGATTTACACCCTCTGCAGCAAGACTGGCAAGGGTGGATGTGTTTATTACCTGAGCCCTGCTCCCAGTGCTGGCCTGGCAGACCCTCCACACCTCAGGGAAACACAATTCCCACCCAGAATTTAGATCCTGGGTCTCTGTCTTTCACTATGAAATAATCAGGTCACATTCCTGGGAAATTCAGGTGAATCAGCCCAGCTACTTACTCCCTTGTGCATAAATCAATTTCCATTTCTATACTCTGCATTTAAGAATGAATCCTTATCAGCCTGTGGAAGAAGGGATTTCATGGGAGAGGAGTTCCACAGCCCCCTCAGAGTGGTGACTGACTCCATGTGCTGAGAAGGACAGGATAAAAAAAGCCCAGAGCTCACTCATGAATTTACACATTTCATCAGCTCATGGGCACTGAGCAGCCACTTTGCCAATGGTACCAATGCACCTCATCTGCACAATTCTAAGGAATTATTATTTTTTAAATATCTTTCTTTTTGTTTGTTGGTTATACACAAATCTGACTTGCAAACACTGGACGTGTATTGACATCTTTCAGTTTAACTATGGAATGTTATCAGACCTGGATTTCATGAAAGAAATGGAGATAATACAATTTTTTTACTAAAAGAAATCATCTGCTGAAGCAGTTCATCAGGATTAAGGGAAAAAAAACACAGGGATAATCTTAAATATTAACTAATCTTTGATTAGTATTCACTCTCAACTCTATTTCAAGATAGTGTGCATTCACACAGAAGAGAGCATAGCTGGTTTAGGGTGCTTATAAAAATGAAAGAAAAAGGCAATTAAACTGTCTGAGATAAAATCCATCTGTTTGTCAGCTGGAGAAAAAAGGACTCACATCACATGATCCAAACAACCTTGGCATGTAGTCCCACTTCCCCTTCCAGTCTTTATAAATTTGCAGTATTTCTTCTGTCCTGGTGAATACATCCAGGAGCGGGGGGAAAAAACCCTGATTTCTGTTGGAAAGTTTGAGGATCTCATCTGATGGCAGCATTAAAATCTGCAGAAAATGCTATGGCAACGTGTTTCCATGAGGACAAGTAGCAAATAGTTATGGAATTGTACCTATGGATGTGACATCTGAGGAGGTAAGAATGGAGTGGTGCTGTCTTTTTAAACCTAAATACAGCTTAGACAGCATCTCCTCTCATTAATATGTATCTAAGCACTCCACAATAGGAAATAATCACAGGATTTAACTGGGGATGAATAAGGACTCCAGCCATAAGCTGGAAGCTCCTTCTGTGATAGGGACAGAAGAGAAAAATCTGTATATTGGCTGTGTGTAGGGTCAGTGTAGGATAAACACAACATGGGTTACACCACACATAAAGCACAGGTGGGGAAACACCTATGGAACAAAGCACTGGAGAGGTTCTGGAATATCAGGTTTAATTCTGGTCATCCTCATCATAAAAAGATGAGCTCAGCTGGAACAGATGCAAAAAGCCACCTGAGAAACCATACCCTACCTGAGCAGGGAGCCAATGGTTCAGGTGTCCCAAAATGAGGCTCAGATTGCTCTTGGTAACTGCACTTAGGGCAAAAGTTAACTTCAGGGGCAGATAAAATAAACAGCAGCAGAGCAGATGGGGACAGGCTGCCTGAAAGTTTGATCTGGAAATCAAAAGTATTTTAACTTTGAGTAGACAAAATGCTGGGTCACTTTTCTAAAGAGAAAAAGAGCAAATTACCCCAAAATCTGGAGCTATCCCAGTATAACCACCTCCCTTCAGAAGGCAGCTGAGAAACAACACTACGAAAGCAAAGCCCACAGTGAGATTTGTGTGAAATTCCTTTCCAGGTGCCATTCCTGGGCATGTCCCTCCCACAGGGACACTCACTGTGATGTCATAGGCTATGGTGGACTCCTTCTGGCTCGGTGATTTGTACAACGTGGCCAACCTGGCAAAACAAACCCCAGGTAATTAGCAGTAATTAACACAGTAATAAAAATTCCAAATAGCCCAGTGAGCAGACCCACGTTTTCCTACAGTACCAGTGGAATTCTTATGGATGTATTTTCATATAGGTCATTCAAACTGTGGATTCCCATCCTTACATGACCTGTCAGCTCAAACACAATCTAGACCTACTAAAAAGAGTGAATGATTAATTAGCCTTGTTTCATCACAGTATTTGATGACATTTTTGGAACAATATTCATCATGAATTAATTCCAAATGTCACTTTCTTAAAATGCAAACAAAAAAGGTTTTGAGCACACCTCTTCCCTACTCCATTAATCACTTGTTCTTTGCCCTCTCAAGGATGTGAGAGACCTGCAAGAATTCCAGTACTTCTAGGGAGGCTTTTTCCAGAGATTTCCCAAGCCTGTCAATATAACCCAGAGGCTGGAGATGTTCTATTTCTAAGCCTGCCCTTGCCACTGACACACAGCACAACCTTGAGAAAATAGTTTCCTTTTTATTTCTCCTCTGACACTTCCCTGATTTGCTGCATTTAAACTCTAAGCAATACACCTTGATTTGTGTTCTACAGCAAATGCTTGCATAATATAGAGAGAAAATTGCACAGCAGCTCAAAAGGAAAGGGCTTTTCAACCCTTGTGAGGGCTGCACTGTGCCCACCTCCCCAAAACTCACACTTACATAAGCCAATCTAGAAAGTGTTCTGCTCTCTGTAGCAAGACACCCTGCCAAAACTCCTGTTAATTATTTTCGGGGGGTTTTTTCCTCCCTGAGGTGCCATTCTATTAGAGAGCACGTAATTACAGCCTGAGGAACGCTGCCACTTCATGTTAGCTACACAGGGAATTCCTCAGAACACTCAAATGCTGGGTTATACTTGACAAAATTGCCCAAATCTGGAGCTGCAGAAGCCAGGCTTTCACAAGAGCTCAGCTGGAGCCTCTGACTCAACAGGATCATTCCTCCCAGCAAAGAGAACCCTTAGAATTAAGCTCTGACATTTTCAGGAGTAGAGAGAAAGGAGGAGACAGGTATCAAAGTGGCCAAAGCACATTTAAAAATGATTTTTAAAAAAGGCAGTGGATCCTCAAATGATCTTTGTGCCTCAATAACCTGATGTAAAACCAACAAAATCACAATGGAGCATCAGCTGCAGGCAGCCTGTGCAAAAATAAGACAGCATTGAGCTATTTCTGCTTTTACAGTTGTATCCAGAATTGCTGTTTCTGCAGGCCCCACTCCATGGTAGCTGCAGATTTACATCAGTAAATAAGCCAGGTTTGTCTCTCCTTGGCTTGTTTTCTGGAACTTCTATCTGCAGCCTCCCTAGCTCTGTTGCAGAAGAAAGAAAAAGTTCTTTTCATATATAAAATTAACTTTTGTTCACTCTGTAATCATTATGTTGATGCAACTTGTCCTAAAAAGACGGTTAACTAATCAGTGATGTTAATTTAATTCCAAATTAAACAGCCTGCTGTAATCATCCTGCATTGCCTTCAAACTTAGAATTTAAAAACAAAACTCCCCAAGAAAGTGTCACTGCATTTTTCTTTCAAATTCAACAAGCAAAACAACATTTTAGCACCATTTTTGCTCACTGTTTGCACAAGATTAGGGAATTGCAGCACAGCTCCTTAATCTCAAGCTGCTGCATGGTGATATTACATAGAGGACAAATTTAACTGACCAGGAAAGAGAAATGACCTTGCAATATAAAGAGTGGGGAAAAGAACCAGGAAACAGAGGAGGTCTCATGGCAACAAACAGAATTTCACACTGTTTTTGGAAGGGTCAACCCCTGAAGCTCAGGGTCAGCAGCCTGTCCTGGGGGTCACAGCCCAGGTGGCTTTAAAGTCTTCTTTGGCATCTCTGGCTTTGGAATGACTGGGGATGAAAACACTGAAGCAAAAAAAAAAATTCTTTTCAAAGAAATTATAGTGGCTACAAGCAACCATGGAGGAGTGGGAGGTTCTTTATAATGAGACTGTTGAAATTGCACCTCTTCAGAGTGGGGTATAAAAATCACCTTGTAACCCAGCAGCTCAATACTTGCACTGAGTCTATGGCAAAAATTCACATTAAAATGAGAAGAGTTTTATTAAAAAAAAAAAATAAACCAAACCCTATCTTGCAAGATGCAGATAGTGAAAGAAAGCCTTGTGTCTGAACAACTGCCATGAGGATGTTACACTTTTATAAACCATGGCATCTTGTCAGGAAGGACCCACCAGGGTGGGGAGGAGGAGCCTGACACTTCAGCCCTCACTGAGACAATTCCTGAGCCTCAGGAGCCTGGGATGTGGCAGAGCAAGGCCAGGAGCCAAATTCAAACCCCTGCTTGGCCCCCATGGCCAGCCTGAAAGATTCTCCAGTGCCATTCTTGTGTTTATGTGGATTTTGCTCACGTTTTGCTCACCTCTGAGTGTTGTCCCAGTGGAAGATCAAACGGACGGTGGCAGCGTGTCCCCAGCTTTCTCCTGAGGAACACAAAATGACAGAGATCATTCATTATCTCTTACAACACCACCATCAGCAAGCTGAAATCAAATTAATCTTCAAAAACCCCCCATGACTAAACCAAAATCTGCCTTTCCTGCAGTGATGCATCACATCTTTTTCATACTTGCAAGGATTTCACAACAAATAGACCTAAAAAGAGGAATAACCTCTGTAGTCTGTGTGTTTTATGGAAACTTTGATGCAATGCTTCCATATTTGTAGAAAAATTTCATGGATGCCTAATTAAGGACAGGTACCAGACAAGTCTTGAAAACAGAGGCAGCTTGAAGAAGAGATTTGTCTAATTACTACTGAAGAAGTCTGGTGAGGAGGTCTAAATCCTACTTCAGAACTGTGATATTCTGTCTCTCAGGCATAATTATGAGCAAACATCAGTCCCTCTGGGATGGCAGCTTTGGGAGAAAGTCAACCATTATTAAAGCATTAAGGGCCCCTGAAGCAGTTTTCTGCTTCTGACAGCAAAATGCAAAATAACCAAAAGCAAGGAGCAGGGAGGTGTGAGAGAGGAAATTTAGATTTTTATCCTGCTCCAGGGGCTCAGTCCCAATGTCTCAGCTCCCATCTGACCACAAGTCAATGTACAGACATCTTTATTGGGTGCTTTTTGCTCTGTTTATCCTGTCAGCACTCCACAGATACATTGCACTTTAAACCAGTCAAGTCTCCCCTGTCCACCTGCTCTTTGCTGTCCTCCCCTCCCTGGGCTCCCCCACACCCCCAGCCCCTCGTGTCCCCTGTGCTCTGGCATTTATCAGAGCACAGAGAAGGAAAAAAAAATGATCCCACTGTAATGAAGACCTAGACCCTTTAGGCATCCTGCCAGACCTTGCTCCACTACATCTGAGTTGAGATTAAAGATTTTGGCTCTCAGAGATGGCTCTGAGGCAGAGATCAAAACACATTTTACAATGGCTACAAATTCCACACCAGCAGATTTCCAACTGCATTGAACATGAGTAAAAATGCTACTGTAAAATGAGATATTTCTGAGTTGAACTGCCTGTAGATTAATATTTGACCTCCTTTCTAAATATATTTAGGAGAATTGTCTAGGAACACCCAGCTTAGCTATCACTAGTGGGAAAGAAAGCTGTCCCCTTCATAAAGCTCCTGACTTAATACCTTGCAGCATCTGTGCTTTTTTCTTTCTTTTTTTTTTTTTTTTCTTCATAATTAAGATCTTCCCTTCTGCTCAGGAGCTGAATAAGAGTTTAGAGATTAATGCTTTCATGAAAAAGCTGTTTCTCAGGCTTACCAGTCAATGGGAGGAGAAACCCAATTTAGTGATTTTACCTGGGGATTTGCTGCTGACCCCTCCCTCAAGAGTTCCCCTGGCTACACCAAACCATGGAGGAGTGGGAGCTTCTTTAGCCTTTATGAAGAGACTTTTGAAACACCATCTTTCCAGAGCAGGGCATCAAAACCACTTGGTTAAATATTTTCCCAACTGGTACCAAGCTGCATTTTTGGAAGAGTTCACACTGCTGAGTTTAACAATGCTGTGGTCACACACGCTGGGGAGAGGCACAGCCAGCTCCACAGGAGGTCATGTCAAATTAATTGTTTGTGAAAGAAAATATGCACAAGGCAAGGCAGGATATCTGGGAATTATAAACTCCCCTGAATGTCTTCACATTCTTTACTGTCCCCATGACTCAATAAACACAACAGCTCCCAAACAATGCTGGCCAGTGAAAAAAGACAGAACCTATTAGCTTTAATTGAGTTTGTAGCCAGAAAGGCTGCCAAAAATAATCCATCAGAGAGCAAGAGGCAAAACTGACAAAAAGGGTCAGATCCTGGGAGCTGGGTCTGCCTGCACAGCTCCAAATTCCACATTCTGCACATTCCTGCAGGAGATGGGCTGTGTTTGTTCATTTTACCCTCTCTCTCTGCCAAATGGTTTGGTGCCTGTACAGACTCTGGGAACATCTTTGCCTTTGTACTGTCCCCTTCTCTCTCCTCTCCAGAGCAAGGGAATCATTACTTGGCTCACAGAAAATGAAGAATTTGTGCCCTTTAAGTGAATCATAAAATAATGCAATGCTACAGCCTGAAATAAGATTTAAATGCTGAACCTTTCCTTAATTTGTAGAAATCTCCACTTCAGAACTGTTTTATTTTCCCCTGTGACTGCAGCAAAAAGGCATGGATGAGGTATCTGCTCATTACAGGGCAAAATTGAGCAGCCTGCAAAAAAAAATCTTTAACCTGGCTCAGGGCAGGCTGTGCCTGAGGATCCCCCACAGAACTTCCCTCTACATCATAACTGCAGAGAATCCCAGTGATACAGCAAATATGAAATGCCTTTGCAAATAATTAATGGGACATGTTCAAGGGTAATGGGAAAATAAACAATTTAAACTGTTTGGGAGAGGCACTGAATGCTTCTCAGGGAATTTAGGAAATTGCAGCTTAGTTTGGGGTATGCAACCATTAAGCTGGGTTCTTGTTTGAGTGATTTAACCTCCTCCTCACCACATCCCTGCTAAAGGTTTACAGCTCCCAGGTACATTTTTGGATGATTTCTCTTTGTACATAAAGCCAAAGGAAAGGAACTCATACATCCATTTTCAACTCAAAGCTCAACACTTACCTAAAGCAGGTACCAATGTGGACTGGCTTTGTCCAATCCTTGTTGTCATTTGGTTTGTCAGAACAACCTGAAAGAGGAAACAGAAACAAACAACAAAAAAATTAAAATCTCCTGGAAATCAGCTTACTGGTGGGAGGGAAGAGAGGGAATTTTCAAAAAAGCTTTTACTGATGAAGCATTACTCAGGCAAAACTCTTGGCAACTGTAATGAGGAGAAACTGTGAGGGGGCCTCATCTTTTCAAAACAAATTAAGAGTACCCTGCAAAATGTATTTTTGGTTTGAATGGGAGATTTCTTTCATTCAAGACTTTAAAGAAATCTAAATTTCTCCCTCCCCAAGGGAGACAAGCTCCACACAACTTATTTATCCCACACCATTTGTCCTAAATGTTGTTTGGATCTATGTTTAGCTGCAGCTGACTCGCACTGGCCTTCCACAAGGAGCCAGCTCTCAGTCCCTGAGGTAAATGAACTTGGTGCTGCTGCTCCCAATGTGCATTAGCCTGGTGATTAACTGAGTTCCTGTGCCTTGGAGTCTAAAAATGCACAAGTGGGTACAAGACAAAGCAGAATGGAAGGGAACAGACAGAGTGGGGGAGTGTTTTCGCAGCCCCAATCACTGGTGGGAGGCTCACAGACAGTCTAGGTTAGATCCCTGGCAGAAGTGGGGGTGGCTGAGACAGAAAAGAGTCAGGAATATTAATGACAAAGTTCATTAAAAATGAAAAATTGTACCCATCTAAGACCCTAGAGAGTTCCATTGTTTGACATGCTCAGAGGATTCTTGCTGGAGTAGCTCAGAAAAGTGTGTGAGAGCAAAGAGCTCCACTGAGCAGAGCCTGAAACATTCACACAGCTGAGAGCCCAGCATGGATATTGCACATTTTAGAGAAGTAACTCATCACAAGTGCATGGTGACAGCCCCACACAGCCTCCTCATCCCCCTGCTGGTGAAGGGCTGGGCATCCTGACTAAAGCTGAGTCCAGCTTTAGGATCTGACTTCCTTCCATATTAGAGCATCCAGAGCTGCCTGACAAGCAATCCCTGGCATGCAGGCTGGATTTAGCCTGCTCACAGCTCATGGAACTAACTCAGACACCACTAACAAGAGGGCAAATCCAAGCAAAACCGTTCCTGAAGCTCTCTTTTAGCAAGAGTTTATTTAGCAACTTTGTACTAAAGTGCTGCCTGGTTCAGAAGAAATGATTTCTATATTTTATCCTTGACCAAAGGGAAGCATTGTCCAATGACAGCAGCTGCTGTTCAAGGTCACCAGGTACCAAGCTGTGGGGGAAAGCACTCAGGAAACCTGAGGCTGTGCAGACCTTGGAACATCATCCCCCTGGTGCCCAGAGCAGCAGGAAGGAGCTCCACAGCTCATGTCAGGACACTTTGGGAATGCTGGGCTCTTCCCCTCCCACAGCTCCCAGAGGAAGCACCAGAGGAGTTTTATTTTTAGCAGCTCGGAACAAAAGCCAACTGCACCAGAGAGCTGTGAGTGACAAGGTCACGAGTCACCTGGACACTGTTAGAGACACCAGCACCATTTTGAGGGCTGGGGAAGCTCCAATTCCTGAACAATGCCTCTCTGATCTGTCAGAGACTTCCAAAACAACTTCTGGAACAGCTGCAGCTTCCCAGTGCCATCTGCTGGCTGCGGCTCCGCTGCCTCCAGACCTTCTGTGACGTAAAACAATGCCCAGGAAGGAGGCTCTGGGTTTCCATGGATGCCAGGAGAGAAGGCCAATCCAGCAGATAAAGTGGTTTTCCTCCCTAGGAATGTTTATTTTTAAACAGAGAGTGGAAAGTTGTGTTGGAACTGCTGAATGCTGCCAGGTATTTCTGTAGGTAAAGTCACCAGAGGAGCATTCCTTGTCCAACCAAATCATTGGAGATAATGGCAAACTGCATTAGAAATGCCATGCTGCCACTTAATTAAGGAGGCCATTGATGCAAATTTCACTTATTTTGGCAAGTCTGGGAATTTCCCACCTTTCAGATGTTTTGCCTTTGTGATCCCTCCATATTCACCAACTAAACTGGCAAGAGTGAATGCAGAGGCTATTACTGCAGAGGGTATTACTGCGGAGGCTATCACTGCAGTTTTATTTTGCTATTTAGACACACATTTCCTTAATTCTTTGTAATAAAAAGCATTATCTTGTGGGCTGGAAGGCTGCCCTGGACTCACAGCTGCCCTGTGCTCGTTGGCTGTGATGATGAGCTGCTGGGCCAGCCCGTTCAGCAGCCGCGTGCGCAGGGCCAGGTCCTCAAAGTCGTGGCGGAAGGGAAAGGCAATTCCATCAATCACCACCAGCCGCACCTAAAGGCAGCAGAAAAGAGCAAAAGCTGTCATTACCATCCTATAAAAAATGACAACAAACAGCAAGAGATGTTTTGTAGTGCACTGGAATGTTTTATTTCATCCTTAGGTGAACACGAGTGGCAAAGCTGGACTTGAAGCCTTGCAGAGGAGAAGCTGGAGAAAATAATCATTAAACAGCAGAACTGTACTTCAGTCAGCTCTCCACAAACAGCAATTAATTCACCTTCTTCCTCAAAAATCCAAATCAGAATCAGAATTCAGGCTCCCTGGAGGCACTGCTGAGATAACTCAGCTGTTATCAGTGATCTGTCTTGGAAACACACAGTTTAACAGATGCCTAAAGATATTCCAGGTACACTGCACTGGAGCTGAGGATCTATCTTGTCTCAAGATGTTTGCTTTGCTGAATTGTTTCTTTTGTAGCAATCATTAGCTGAAGTCAGAGCACGCTGCAGCTGCTGGCTCATCACCCTCAAGACACTGTACAAACATTAGTCTGGGATTTTGATTTATTCTAACTTCATTTGTTGTGGCTGTTTTGATGACCCAAGTATGAAATACAGGAGGGAGATGGATGGTCTAACAGTGCCTGCATATTCACATGGCACTCAAAATCCCTGGTGTCCACAAGTTCCTGCATTACTGCACAAGATAACAAAGTGGAAACAACACAAAAATCCTGATTTTCTGCATTACTGATTTAACTCATTACTGGGAAACCTCTTTATGACTGGAACATACAAGCCTGCACAGACATCACTGTGAAATGGTCCTGGGCCTCCACCTGAAAAAAACCCCCTTAATTTGCAAAAGAAGATTAAATATTTGGGATTAAAAGAAGACATTAATCGTATTCTCATTTTCCCTTCTTCCTACAAATTCTTTTCCACGAGTCTGTACATTCTCCTCATGTATCATTTCTTTAAGAACAATAAATTTAACAGCATAAACATGACTCATGCCAGACAGGAATGTACACATGGTTATATAATTTGGCTATCACAGTTATGTTCAGGTAGGATGCAATTTAGTGAAATTTCTCCCAGAGAGCAGACAGGAACACCTAAAGTATTTAAAGTGTAAAGAGAGCTTGGTAACACCTGCCTTGTCCATGCCAGCTTGGCTCAGCAGACCTTAAAGAATCAGGTTTTTTATTTTCTAACAGTCTTTCTCATATTATTAACAAGATCTCAAACGAGTTCATGTTTCCAAATGGCACATTTGAACCTCTAACTCTACATCTTTCTTATCTCTAAACCTCTACAACTTTTTCCCTCTCCTAAAACCCCTGAAATCTGGAGGCTTCCTGTGGTCCCAGACTGGGCTCCAGAGGGATCAGACTAATTTTAATGAGAGCTGGACTGCAATGAGCAATCTGCCAAATCACTTCTAGCCCGTCCAAGGAATCAGCAGAAGGTCTTGTGGTTCTTCTGCAACCTTCAGCACTTCAGGCTGCAGGCCAAGCCCAGATAATCAGCACAGATGGTTCCAGGGAGCTGCAGCCCAGTGGAACTGTGCTAATGAAGCCATGTACTTTCCACAAGAGCAAACACAACAGGGCACCGTTAGTACCTGGCAGGGAAAGGGAATACCAGACTACACCGAGCACAAGTGAGGCTCCCATCTGTGTCTTCCAGAACACCACAGCTCCCATCAATGAAAAATTTTGGAATATGTGCAAAAGACATTCTAATCCAACACTGATTTGTGCTTTGATGGAACAAGGCACAGTCACATTTCCCAGATCCTGACAGGGAGTGATCTGCAGTGCAGAACCCAGAAATCTGGAGGGGAGGTGGTGAAAATCTGCCTTACAATAGCATTTCTCTAAGACATTAGGTACTAAGAAACTTTCTGGCTGCAGTCCACCCAAGAGTCAAGCTGCAGGCTCTGGTTGCTTGTAGCAACAGAAGATGCACTGAAAAAAAGGAGAGTCACTTGGATGGTGCAGGATATTTCTGGTCCTGAGTGCTCTTTTAGGGCAAAAAAAGTGGCACCAAGGCTTTCTGATGCCACCCTAATGGTCAGCACACACCCCCTGGCTGGGAGGCTCTTGGGCAGAGCAGTTCTGTGCTGATTCACAGCTCAGTGCTCCCAGAAAAGGAACATGTGGCAGCACAGACTCAGTGTCCTCAACTCAGAGTGGAAATTCAGGAGGATGGCAAAAGCAAATGCCTCTTGAGAGAAATTGGGATGGGAACGAAAAGGCAAACAAGCAGAAGGCTTTACATTTGTCCTCTGCTATCAGCCAATATTTTACTGCCAAGCTGACGAGGTACCAAGGTGTTTACTCCTGTTACTACAGCAGACAAAAACTCTTCAGTGTGAAGATGAGTGACACCTCCTGACAAGCCTGCAAGGAGCCTCACCTTGGAATGCTCTGACAGGAATTCTGGCAGGAGGTAGACCTGGGCCAGCAGCTCTGTGTAGTCACGACAACGGAAGTAATAGATGTGAGAGAGGATATTTTCCAGAGAGAAAGTCTCCAAAGCTTTCCCATGATCTGAGAACAAAACAAACAGACGAGTAAATGAGTCAGAAGTCTGTACGAGCATATTGTTACTTTCATCATCCCACCAGAGCCTGCCCTCCACACATAGCAACAGCAAAGCCCCCAGAAACAGAACAGGCAAGGTAAGGAGTGTGGAAACATATTTTCCATCTGGCTTGAAAGTCAGGAAGGTGGGGAGCAGATGCTATCCCAGCATTTGCACACAGACACACTGGAGCCTTCAAGGGAGGCCTCCAACAATGAAAAATTTCTTTCTGAAGCAAGAACTTCTCCAGTAAATCATTTTCAAGCCAGAACGCCACCAGAGGACATCAGGGACTATTAATCATCCCTTGTTTAATATACAGGCAGTACCTCATTTAATACAGTGTCTCTTTACCTCAGATCTAACAGAAGTTTGATGCATAAATTCTCCATGAGTAACACAAAAGTTGTGTCCTTATCCCCAGGAGACTGATGACTTTGAGAATAAAACTTATTAAAAGCAGCTTGGCTATATGGACTTTATGGAGGAGCTGAATTCCAGCTATGGTTTTACTCTAAGGGCCTTCAGCAGCAACATTGCCTCATAAAATTCTGCTGTTCCTCTTTCCTTTCCCTACCTGTTCCTGTGTTTTGAAACAAAACACTCAGTTTTGCTCAACTGGTGCAAATATGACCAATAAGGTGCTGCAAATATGATCATTAAGGTGCTAAAAAATTGGAAGAGGAAAGGAGGAAGATCAAATATCAAAACCCCCCACACCACCTAAAACCTCCAGGACCAAAATGTTCACAAAATCACCCTGTAGAAAAATAATTCTTTTTGAAGTAGCTCAGCCCAGTCTGCTCCAGACACAGATGTAGTTCAGGGTTTGATACACAGAGGTGGAAATAAAAAGCTGTCAGCAAACACTCCAAAAGTAACACTGCAGCCTACGAGCCACTTGTTTCACTCCATCTTGCCTCCTCCAGAAAAGAAATGACTTGGCAACAACGTACCCTCTTCTTGCTGAGCTTCAGCAATGAGGTGGCAGTGCTGCACACAGGCAGCTGCAATGTCCACCACTCTGTCCACCATAAAACTCCCCTCAGTGTCAATGAACACAGCTTCTCCAGCAACGCCCCCAAAGCACTCGGGGATCTGGACATCCACGGCCAGCTGCATGCTGCCATGGGAAACAGAAACAGAGATCAGTATCTGCATCCCAGAGCTCACTCCTGGGAAATAGGAACAGAGATCTGCCATGGGAAACAGAAATAGGGATCAATATCTGCATCCCAGAGCTCACTCCTGGGAAATAGGAACAGGGATCTGCCATGGGAAACAGAAATAGGGATCAATATCTGCATCCCAGAGCTCACTCCTGGGAAATAGGAACAGAGATCTGCCATGGGAAACAGAAACAGAGATCAGTATCTGCATCCCAGAGCTCACTCCTGGGAAATAGGAACAGAGATCTGCCATAGGAAAGTGAAATAGAGATCAGTATCTGCATCCCAGAGCTCACTCCTGGGAAATAGGAACAGAGATCTGCCATGGGAAACAGAAATAGGGATCAATATCTGCATCCCAGAGCTCACTCCTGGGAAATAGGAACAGAGATCTGCCATGGGAAACAGAAATAGGGATCAGTATCTGCATCCCAGAGCTGTCCCTGCTCACTCCCTGTCCCATGTATTCCTCCTGCTGAGGAATACACGGGACAGGGAGCAGTACAACCATCATTGTATTTATACTGCTGGAGAAGAGTCAGAGATTGCAGTCAGATAACAAGAAAAATGGACTCATTTCCTAGGTGAGTTGAACAAAAAGTGATTTCTGGTTGCACACAAGGCCCGGGACAGTGAAATACCACAGCTGCGTTTTGCCAACTCCGGGTGCTCCGCAGATCTCGGTGATTTTTGTCAGCTGCACTCCACCTCCCAGGATGTTGTCCAGTGCTGAACAGAAGGTGATGATGAAGCCCTGGGTTTGCTCTTCTTCCAGAAGCTCCAGGGCTGTGCATTTCCTGGTGGCACCTGATCCCCCAGCTGTCCTTGCTGGGTCCCCGTGACATTCCTGCCTCACCACCTGCAGCGCTTCCAGCGCCTCTTCCCTGGAGATTCCAATTTCTAGAGAAGCCAAAAGCACAAGACACCACTTTTATTTTATAAGCACCGACTGATTCCACAGCATGACACAAAATGTTCCATGTTCACCCTCTCAGGATAACATGCACACAGCCCTGGAACTAACAATGTGATTTTCAAACTGTTATTGTCATAGATAATTAAACTAGAAAGTCAAAATCCCAGACTGGTTTGGGTTGGAAGGGGCTGTAAAGACAACTCAGTTCCATCCTGCCATGGACAGGGACACGTTCCACTGTCCCAGGTTGTCCAAGCATCATCCAGCCTGGCCCTGGGCACTGCCAGGGATCCAGAGGCAGCCACAGCTGCTCTGGGCACCCTGTGCCAGGGCCTGCCACCCTCACAGGAAGGAATCACTACACACTCCTTGAAAAAGGCAATTTTCTAACTTCAAACAGGCTTATTTTGTTTAAATCACATAGTAAAAAGAAGAGGGAAGCTGGGGAAAGACGAGAGATGAGCCTAACAGAATCTCTTTGCTTTCCTGCATCCCATTTCCATCCATCAGTGTCAGCTGATCTTTTACCAGAATCCTCTATTTTTTATTATTATTATTCACTGTGCCCATTTCCCAGAAGCCTCACTGGGGCCGGGACGGGGAAGGGGGAAGGGCCCGGAAGATCCCGGGGAGGCCCCGGGGGGCCGAAAGCCGCCGGTACCTTTGCTCAGGCCGCAGGGCCCGGTGTCCAGCAGCTCCTGCGCCGTCTGGAAGCCGGCGGCGGCGAGGCGTGCGCGCAGGGCGGGGGCCAGCGGCAGCGTGCCCACCTCCCGCTGCATGGGGACACCGGCACCGGGCACGGCCCGGATCGCTCCGGACACGCTCCGGACACGGTTCGGACACGCTCCGGCCGAGTACCGGGAAAGCGATCGCCCCGGCCCCGCCCACCGGGCCCGCCCCTCCCGGTCTGGCCCCGCCCCCGCCCCACCCTGGCGCGAAGCGGGCGAGCGGTGCCGCCGCGCATGCGCGCTGGCGTTCCCGCGTGTCGGGGCCGTTCGGGCGGCGGGTGAGCGGAGCCGCGTGGGCCGCGGGTGTCCGGGGCTCCGCGAGGGGCTGGAGCGGGCATTGCCCACCCGGGAATGCCGCTGGGTCTGTCCCGCCTGTGTGCCCCGGAGGGAACGCTGCTCCTGGCAGGTTCTCCGCGTTGTCGCCTCTCCCGTCCGAGAGAGAGGGAGGGCAGGAGGCTGATTTCCCCTTCCATCTCTGGATATTTCTGCAGGAAGCAGACCTAACTTTAAGCTACTGCAGGTTCTGAAGTCAGAAATAAGTTCATTACGTTGAGGTGCTTTGCAGCTTGATGTTTCCTACCTTTTCCCAGTTGCGTTCAGGAAAGAAGATGGCTCATCCCATCCCTCTCCCGTTTCCATGCCCAGTCAAGCTTGGAAGTATAAAAGGAGACTCCCTGGAAGCTGACCTGCATGAGTATGTCAGGGAAGGGAACTATGTCAAAGTGAAGAAGCTCCTGAAAAAAGGTAAAAGCTAAGTTTAGACAAGTACTGGAAGAAAATATCTACTTTTTCCTGTATTCTTTTATTTCTGGCAGAAAATTAGCATACTCCGTGTAGAATCCAGTTTTCCAAGTGAAATATGTTAACAAAATTATTTATAGCTGTCCTTTTCCGTTAAGGGGGAATAGTTCTTGAATCAAAAAATGTATTAAAACAAGTTAGTTCAAAAGAAAACGAATCTTTTATAAGTAAAGGGCTCATAAGGACATGACTGAGGCATTGTAAAACTAAAATTCTGGAAGACAGCTGTAGGAATATTCTCTTTAAATTGTGTTTTAGTTCGGATTGCCAAATGCTCAGGGTATGGTTAAGACATTAAGCATTTTTACAAGCAGATTTGTAGCGACACAGGAACAGGGAGTTTTGTACATGAAACCAGATACTCGGTGCAGTTTGGTTTCGGTTTTGGAATCACAAATCTCCGTGGGTTGCGCTGATGCAGAACTGCGCCTTCCCAGGGCGGGGCCGGCGCTTGGCGGCGGGCGCGCCTCTGATTGGCCAGCGGGGGCAGAACATGCAGATCAGGGGGGCGTGTCCCGATCGCCGCCACGCGCGGCCGTTCCCCGGGCCTCGGGCGCTCCCGCGGGGCTCGGGGCGCGCTCCCGCGGCTGGGGCGGGCGCTCGGCGGGGCCGCGGCGGGCGCTCCCGCGGGGGTTTGGGGCTCGCCGTGCGCTGAGCGCGGGTGGCGGCGTCAGGGGCGGTGGCGGCGCGGAGGGTTGGGTTAAGACTATACTTTCAGGGATCATTTCTGTAGTTGGTCACTAGAGGAGAGTGATCTTCCCTGATCGGCGTCACAAGCCACGAGGAGGAGCGAGGTGTTCTCTCCTGAGCGCGAAGCGGGCGGGCGGTGCTGCCTGGGCAGGGGCCGCTCGCCATTGATGACCGTTCCCGGCCCCCGTCGTGGGGCTCGGGAGGGAGAGAACACGGGCTGAGTGGTTTGTGGCCCCTTTTTTTATCTTGGTCAAAAACAAACAGAATTCAATGCATTGGATCTTGAGCTCACCTGCCTGCGATCCCCAGGATCCTGACCCCAAATCCTACAGTCGCATGTTCTGAAAGTCCCTCCAGGGATGCGACTCGGCCACTACCCTTGGCAGCTGTGCCCGTGCTCGAGAACCCTTGCAAAGTGAATAATTATTCCCCATTATCAAACCGAAACCTGCCCTGCTGCGACCTGAGGCCGTTTCCTCTCATCCTGTCACTTGTTCCGTGCGGGAGGGACAGACCCCAGCTGCCTACATCCATCCTCCTTGCAGGCAGCGGCAGGGAGGGTGAAAGTTCCCCCTGAGGCTCCTTTTCTCCAGGCTGAGCCCCCTCCCCATCCCCTCAGGCCTCGGCAGGGAGAGAACACGGGCTGAGTGCTTTGTGGCCCTTTTTTATTGTGGTTAAAGAAAGAATTGGAGAGAGCAAAGTGGCATGAACAATCCTTGTTCAGGGGCATTTCCATCTCTCGCTCTCAACACTCAGCCGGGCTCGTAGTGGGTGATCCCTAGGGAAGGCGCAGCAGCCACACAGATTTAGGTTTTATGACAGCATTCAGACCAATGGTATTCTCGACCCATCTCTTAGTGCAGGGCAAGGGGACTTTCTTGTTTAAAAAGAAAAGGGATGATCACAGAATGGCACGGGACTAAGGGGAACCTGTTCCGGATTTGCCTATCATCAGGTTTGGAAGTCCGTGTCGGACAGGCTACAAATTCTGATGGATTTAGGGAGAAACTGCTCCGTGTTGTGCTCTTTATAGCGTCGGTCCGTGGTGCTCGGGCTGAGCGCAGAGATGTAAAGGCCGGAGTTTGTTCTTTCTGGTCCATGAATGCCACCCTGAGAGCGTCGGGAGAGGCTGGGAGCCAGCGCAGCGCCCCGGCGGCAACCGTGCCGCGCTGCTGCTGTCGGTACCGGGGCTGTTCTCCTCTGGGGAGCCGGGGCAGCGGCAGCACGGGCCGTGAGGGCCCCTTGTGTCCTGTCGCGACAGCTGTGCCAGGCGGAGCTGCGGCGGCAGCGTCACTTCTGGTTCGGGGGAGGCAGAACGGGAAGGCGGGGCCGCGCCGGCGCCAGGCTTGGGGAGCGGCTGTGATTGGCCAGCGGGGGCAGAACATGCAGATCAGGGGGGCGTGTCCCGATCGCCGCCACGCGCGGCCGTTCCGCGGGGCGCGGGCGCTCCCGCGGGGCTCGGGGCGCGCTCCCGCGGCTGGGGCGGGCGCTCGGCGGGGCCGCGGCGGGCGCTCCCGCGGGTGTTTGGGGCTCGCCGTGCGCTGAGCGCGGGTGGCGGCGTCAGGGGCGGTGGCGGCGCGGAGGGTTGGGTTAAGACTATACTTTCAGGGATCATTTCTGTAGTTGGTCACTAGAGGAGAGTGATCTTCCCTGATCGGCGTCACAAGCCACGAGGAGGAGCGAGGTGTTCTCTCCTGAGCGCGAAGCGGGCGGGCGGTGCTGCCTGGGCAGGGGCCGCTCGCCATTGATGACCGTTCCCGGCCCCCGTCGTGGGGCTCGGGAGGGAGAGAACACGGGCTGAGTGGTTTGTGGCCCTTTTTTTTATCTTGGTTGAAAAATAGAATTCAATGCAGAGCATCTTGAGCTCACCTGCGTGCTGTCCCCTGAATCCTGCCCCCAAGTCCCACAGTCGCATGTTCCGAAAGTCCCACAGGGATGGTGACTCGGCCACTACCCTTGGCAGCTGTGCCCGTGCTCGAGAACCCTTGCAAAGTGAATAATTATTCCCCAATATCAAACCGAAACCTGCCCTGCTGCGACCTGAGGCCGTTTCCTCTCACCCTGTCACTTGTTCCGTGCGGGAGCGACAGACCCCAGATGCCTACATCCATCCTCCTTGCAGGCAGCGGCAGGGAGGGTGAAAGTCCCCCCTGAGGCTCCTTTTCTCCAGGCTGAGCCCCCTCCCTGTCCCCTCAGGGCTCGGCAGGGAGAGAACACGGGCTGAGTGCTTTGTGGCCCTTTTTCCTTTTTTTTTATCATGGTCAAAAAACAATGTTCACGGGGCTAAAGGGTCAGCCCTGCGATCTCGCTCCTGGCTGCCTCCTGAATCCTGACCCCAAGTGCCACAAACACATTTTATAAATCCTTCCAGTGCACACTGGAATTTATCCAGCAGGCTGAGCGCCCCCAGCTCCCTCAACTCCTCCTCATCAGATCCGTGACCCTTCCCAAAACCCGTTCCTTTCTCTGGACGCACTCCAGCCCCTCAACGTCCTTCTGTTTGTGCTGGGGCCAAAACTGGACGCCGGACTCGAGGTGCGGCCTCACCAGTGCCGAGTACAGAGGACGGTCACTGCCCTGGTCCTGCTGGTCACACAACTGCCGGTACAAGCCACGTTCCACTGGCCCGCTTGGCCACCTGGGCACGCTGCCCGCTCTTGTGCACCACTCTCAAGCGGCATCCCCAGGTCCTTTTCCTCCGTGCAGCTTTTGAGCGACTCTCCCCAAATCCTGTAGCGTTACAGGGGGTTTTTGTGACCTAGTGCCCGTCATTAAGGGACAAAGGAGAGCCCGGAGGCGATTCCGCCTCCCGTGACGCGTCCTGGGCCCCGGCGGCGGTGGCGGCGGCAGCGGCGTCCCCGGCCGAGCAGGCAGGGCAGGGGCAGAGCCGGGCGGGCGCGCCTCTGATTGGCCAGCGGGGGCAGAACATGCAGATCAGGGGGGCGTGTCCCGATCGCCGCCACGCGCGGCCGTTCCCCGGGGCGCGGGCGCTCCCGCGGGGCTCGGGGCGCGCTCCCGCGGCTGGGGCGGGCGCTCGGCGGGGCCGCGGCGGGCGCTTCCGCGGGGTGTTTGGGGCTCGCCGTGCGCTGAGCGCGGGTGGCGGCGGCAGGGGCGGTGGCGGCGCGGAGGGTTGGGTTAAGACTATACTTTCAGGGATCATTTCTGTAGTTGGTCACTAGAGGAGAGTGATCTTCCCTGATCGGCGTCACAAGCCACGAGGAGGAGCGAGGTGTTCTCTCCTGAGCGCGAAGCGGGCGGGCGGTGCTGCCTGGGCAGGGGCCGCTCGCCATTGATGACCGTTCCCGGCCCCCGTCGTGGGGCTCGGGAGGGAGAGAACACGGGCTGAGTGGTTTGTGGCCCTTTTTTTTATCTTGGTTGAAAAACAGAATTCAATGCAGTGAATCTTGGGCTTACCTGCCTGCTATCCCCTGCACCCTGCCCCCAAGTCCCACAGTCGCATGTTCTGAAAGTCCCTCCAGGGATGCGACTCTGCCACTACCCTTGGCAGCTGTGCCCGTGCTCGAGAACCCTTGCAAAGTGAATAATTATTCCCCAATATCAAACCGAAACCTGCCCTGCTGCGACCTGAGGCCGTTTCCTCTCATCCTGTCACTTGTTCCGTGCGG